TTTCTCGCACCTCTCTCGCGGATGACATCTTCCCCTTCGTCTTGCGTTATTTCCTCCTATTGTTTTACTTATTTGCTCCTGTCGTCACCGTCTGATAAGCGAACTCAGCTCTTTGGCTTCCCTCGGTTTCCTTCATTCGATCAGCTTTTCTCTCTCACCAGCGAGTCCTTTATTTGGGCCACGTTTACCTTAATGCCTTATTAACACAGTGGTGTTTGCCGCTGCTGTCATACAACTTCTTCTTTCATATCCCTCACCCGTCACCCAGGGTCCCGCGCTTCGCGTTTCACCGAGGGATAGGGACCGGAGGAATCGATCCCCCATAAGAGCGCCAGGAAACTGCCCACTAGGACACCTGGAACGCGCCTTCGGCTGATGTGTTTACCGCCCTATCCCGCTCATGTATCCAAAGTGATCGCGAAGCGACAACACAGGACGCAGCGGAAGCTGGCATGTAACGTTGGCGGATGTTACGATCCTGGCGGTTGGCATTAGAGGCCTCGGCAAAAAGTACGAGCAAACACCAGTGTTGCTGTCTTCACGGAGTCCCAGCTTTTGGCTGATGAAGTTTCAGTGGACTCTAAAGCTGGAAATCGACTTCCCGCAGGATAAGCCCCCCCATGCCCCCCCTTTCTTGCCCCTGTTGCCACGACCAGAATTACGACCGGCGGCAACTATGACACGTATATGACGTCACCAGGCGGAAGCCGAAAGACCACTTTTTAGGACATGGTAAACACACCAGACTGAGAGGCGTTCCTGGCACCATAATACAACCTTGAAGACGAGGCCTGCGCATGATGTAATCGTTAGTGGACCCCCGACTCGCCCCGACCCGCCCCGACCCACCCCAAGCTCAAAGAACGCCGAAGCTGAATGAGAGTTGCCGCGAAGCCGCAGACGCGTCGGTTTGGGGAGGCAGCGTGTTAGCGCACGCTCGTTGTGAGCCTCTGCAAAGCGCGTTGGCGGCGACGCTGACGCAAACGTGGTATTGATCCTAACCGGAGAGTCCCGCGTGCGTCTGGGGTCCGCTGCGTCGGAGCGTCGGATGCAGGGTCACTGAGCCGGAACCAAGGGCCATTAAGTCCGCTTCAGCTTTTCGCTCCCCTCCGCCGATTCTGGTGTCTGCAGTGCTGCGTGTCCCTATCTGAATGATTAGCGCTCTTTTCAGCGGAAGAAAAGTTTCTACCCACTGTGGAGATTATTGTAATTTAATCGCACCCCCTTCAAGCCGTCGAGCTTCCCCAGGGAGTTATCGAAAAAGAGGTATTCAAGTAATGGCCATCTAGAGATTCAGCTGCCGACGGGACCCGGATATTGTTTCCAAGCCATAATTACATAGATACTGCGATAACATGTTGAATGCTGTAGTTGATGATGAATCGTTACTTCTGCAGTTGATGTTATGAAACTCCCGAGGTCTCCGTCGTATGCAGTTACTCGTCCAAGACCAATAAGGCAAGGCTTCCCCCCCTCCCCCCCTCCCCCCCCACACACACAGACACACTTTTCCTGAAAAAATTGGTTGGTGCATATGTTTAATGTACTGGATAAATTTCCGTAGAACAACGGCCACAGCTGAAGAAACGTCCACGGGCTCTTGCTGCGTGGCGATGTCGGGTGCGAAAGAAGCGAATGCCTGCGGCTCGGAGTACGGTTGAGGCCAATTCTTTTAGGTGACTGGCTAGCAGGCGCGTCGCGTACCTATCCGCTTAGCCTAACACGTCCCCCAAGGTAGTTCTTTTTATGTGCAAATAAAATATCATTATTCATATTATTATTATTAAATGTGCAGCCCCCCGCGCCGAAATCTACGAGGCGCATATACGCGAAATTGCGTGCGACTGCTTTTAACGCTTCGCCGAGTCGTGTGAACTGCCCGTGCCGCAGAGCACGCGAGCTCGGCCACTGTACAGAGCGATGAGCTAAAGTTGTGGAATCACGGCTGTCGAAGCGGCGTCCTTCGCCGTTACAATCAGACAGGGGCGCGTCTCGTTGAAGCGAGCAGACGAAGAAGCTATAGTCGGTTGCAAGCTAAGAAAAAACCGGAAATGCCTCTCAGAGGAAAATGTAATCCTACGCCGAGAAACGCCAGCCAATCGTTTTCATGACGTCACGTATCCGTAGACCAATCGCGATCCTTTTGAAAAAAAAAAAAAGCTCGACATGGCTGCTGGCCTTAGCAACGCGACGCTAGTTTCTCGTGACAATTATTCTGCTTTTTTGCACCGTGTTTTACGTGCCCGAGGTTACGCCACGAAATCTTAATGGTATCGGCTTGCGTTTGCAGCAGTTTTTGCGCGACAACGTGAGAATCCAGCGACGCTATCGCCAACGAAAATTTCGAAGCGGGCGCGAGGCTTAGCACTGCTGAGAGGTATGTTAGACGGTATGTTAGACAGTATCTTGGACAGAAAATGAATTGGGAAGACGGTACATTGGACATGACTTTCTTTCTTTACTAAACAGCTATTTCGTTGACAAAAACGTATTCTAACTTATTTAAATGTCCTGAATGAATTAAATAAATATTGTAGTAGTTTAAGACACGTTTCCTGGAGGAAGAAAAAGCAACGTTGCTAGCGAACTACTTTCTCGACGGCGGAGGCACTTCAGATGGGCGCAATGCGCTTGTGGGTGGAGCTAAAAGATTGTTCTCAGGTTGCATCCGACTATAGCAGATAGGAAAGGACGCGCGAGCGCAGTGCACGGTTCTAGGCAGCGGGCGGCGATGAGTGTGACGCCACTTCCGTGACCAAGTTTTCGTGACATCTATCTCCTAACTTTGCACCCCCTTCTAAGCGCGGAGGAGTACGTAGTTCTACGTCAAAAAATGAAAGAATGGAAGATCTCATGGGACTGGTAGTGAAGGCCCTTAGAAATGAAATGTGAATAGAAACTACCGTGATGACACAAACTTCGGTAGAGGCTTCATATGTAAAACTATTTGCTTATCGTACGGTAGGTGTGGTAAATTTGAGTTAACTCTGATTGTGATAGGATGAGCGAAATTCACAAGGGTTGAAGCTAATGATGTCTGTTAAGAAACGACTGAATATATACCTCATTTTTTGTTCTAGCTGCGACTGCTTTTTTTATATTTAAATAAACAAATGATTACATTTGCAATATTATCTGAGGAATTACAGTCACTTGTGAGTTAAACAGTTGGAACTTTATGGTGAAGGTTAATATCACTAAATTTTTATTTATCGTGAAACAAAGCTTGTATCAGCCTGGGCGCGTCAGGTATTTCAGTAAACGTAGAAGTGTCAGCTATTTCAGTAAACTGCTATATTAGAGAAGGAAAATCCTTCTTCTCCTTTACACTTCCGACGCCATTGACAGTGACGACGCTGAAAAACGTGTGATCTTTCACACCCGCACCCGCTTCCTAGGGCCACCTCCGCACCCACTTTAATAAAAGTCATGCTTTGTGAAACATGTACAGGAAACCAGACATGAAGAGTGAATATGGCGGTGATTCCCCATCCTCATCAACTTCACATCGGCGTACAGTTGATATCTGAAAACGGGCTCATGCCCTATCAGTGGGCCGAGTTTTGAACAATCTTTCTGACTTCTCAACAAATTCTGGCCGCCGAGAGTGTCGCCCATACTAACGCGGAACATATTTTTTTTCTACAATAAACTATCGATGTATTTATCCAAGCAACTTGATGCTTACGACGCACGCGATGCCCGCTCAGAATCGATTACCGCACTGCATTACTCTGAGTTCGTTAACGTTTGGAGCGGAGGTTCAAGAGGGCTGAAAGGGCACGAACGAGTGTTTTTTAAAGGCGTTTTTCGCGCTCGACTGACTGCGTAAACAGGACACTATAGAGCTGCTGGGTCCCGCTTCTGTCTTAGCAGTGCTACACGTAACTTCTATACTAACACAGGGATCACGCGCTGACAAAGCCACCTGGCCAAGCTATGAACCCTGGCTACGATGGACACTTTCATCATCAACGTAAGATACGTATATAACTTGAGCTAAACGATATATATATATATATATATATATATATATATATATATATGTCATGTTGATATTCAAAAGCACACTCTATTTGCTAGACCTAACCACTGCCGTCGTTATCCTCAATATCTTTTTTTCTTAAACAAAATGCTCAGATAATGTTTAGATTGTGATCCTGTATTGTTTTCGGTCGATGTAAAACATTAGCGCGTGAGTTTCTGGTCGCTCCGTGTGGCACGCCAGCGTCAAGCATTGAGTATGATCAATTACCCTCGAGCTCGAGCTAGCACAATGAACTGAATAGTCGATTACTGTTTAACCGCCTTTCTTTTTTTCTTCTTTCTTTTTGTGGAGATTACCGCCGAGCACCATGTTCTATTCAACGCACGTAGTTCCTGATAGCGAAGAGCAAAGGACCGCCGATCGAATATTCGCGATGGAAGAAACCTTGTGCTCGGAAGTACGGAGTGGAGCAGGGCCAGCATGAAGGGAGAGTGAATGCAAGCGGAGTTAGATGGAGAGGGACGAGAGGGGTTTGCAGGCTATAGTATCTAGCATGTGACTGTTCATTATGAAGCAGAGATTAATTTCATTTCATGTTTTGTTTCTGCTCTCGGACTATATTTTGCGTATTCACTGAAAGTGCGAGGCAAAGAAGTCGCTTTTTTCATTAAGGGGTCTCCCACCGAGTGGTCAGCAGGTATAATTCCATAGACATGCCACTTCCTATTTTAAGAACTACGCAGAAAAAGTGTACGAGTTTACTCCGGCAGGAAACAAAGACGGCCAATCAAGGCGAAGGATAAAAAATATCAGCAAATAACAAAGCCCATGAGACGATTAGGTCTTAATTATGTGATGAGTGCAGGATCAACCGGTAATCGAATGGTCATGCTCTTTCTGCTTGTGCACATTACATCTATTCTTTGTCGTGAATCGTTGTTTCCTCTTCTACAAAAAAGTGAACTCGTAGAGCTTTCTTTAGAGTGACAGACGCTACACTTCTCAAACTCACAGTGCACGTTGAGCACCACGGTGTCGCTGACTTCGCTTTTGGGCAGGTGCGGGTTGTCTGCTCGGCAAGTGACGTTGCGGCCGTTGTCCTCTGCAGCTACGATGAAGCTGACGCTGCTCACGGTTGAGTTCGTGGCCGTGGACACAAAGTCTTCGACCTGCGTCAGCCGCTGACCGCCCTTGAACCACGTCACCTGGGAGAAAGGCCGGGCGCCGGTGGCCAAGCAACGCAACTCGACCCGGTCGCCGGCAGCCGCAGGTTGCCTGGGGACTGCAATCTTCACCTCCGTGGGCTTCACTGAAACAAAACGCGAACATTTATTTAGACGCTCGAGGCGTGAATGCTTGCAGGCGCGGGCACACTAAGGGGGCGTAGTACATCAGGGTAGTTTGAAAGGTTCGGCGGACTAATATGTACACTTCGCAACACAATTAACTGTAACGTGGTTGCATATATTTGCTCTCAGAACGTAGCGTCGATCAACAATGTATTTACTGACAGAGGGAGAACGGCTGGGCGTGTCTTGCGAACTTAATGTGTCCTGCACTCAATTCACGCATTACACGCTGTACTTTGGCTATGCGGGCGCGCTCGAGGAGCACGAGGTAGGGAGCTGGAGGCGGGACGATTGAGGCTCTTCCCTTCCATTTTCATTTTGCTGGTGACTGTAGCATTATTATTTTATGAACGCACATATTGTTTGCCCGGACTTATCAAAAGCATCCTTGATGTGCATCGAGATGTGCGAAAGGAAGCGAATAGTACCAAACTCTACCTTGTTATTGTTAGCGGCACACGTTTTGCCAGAGTTGACAGGCGACTAATCACTTTCAGGAAAAAGAAGACGAACATTTTAATCCCAATGAACACACGTCGTGGTGCCTTAGGTTGGCCGGTCCCTTACTTCGTGTTGCTATAGGCGTATGGCCGCGATGTGAGTACTCGCTATACTAAGTTTAGAATTCGCTTCGAGTGAAACATCACGTGAACGAGATTTGTTCCGACTGACAGAATTGCAAGCTCATCAATGCAACTAAAGCATCTGTAGGCACGTGCCATTAGGGAAAGGCTTTGGATGTCTCGATCCAGGAACCTCTTTGCGTCATGTTACTGGTTTATCAAGCATCAGTCTGGCGTGACGAAATCGAAACAGACTGCAGAACACAAATCCGATTGTGTTACGCATTCGTGTCTGCTCGAGGACGGACGGTGACGTTGGGCGCTTTAAAGGAGATGCCAGGTACGCTTTATGTTCGTCTTACGACAAAGCCAGTGCGCGAAGTCAAAGCGGGAGCCTTCGTACCACGTACCCCATCAATCGGAACGGCCTCGCCACCTCACCGGTCTTTTCGTAACGGCCACACGCGGCGGAAATAACCCACTCGTTTTTATGAGCTTGCTCGAGAAAAAAAACGCACCCTTCCGTAGCAAAATGCCGCGCCTTTGAGCGTTGTGTTGCAACGCCTATAAGATACATCTCATAAACTTGGACGTCGAAACCGTTTCACGTCTTGGAAATGGGCTTTTTTCTCTTTCTCTTTCCAACGAAACTAGACCACAATCGCAATTCTAAGGTTCAAGAAAGCAAAAAAGAAAATAAATGTCGTTTGCGTAAACATATTGTAATGTCGGTCCTGGCTTTCAAGTTCGTCGACATTGGTTCTTGCTGTAGACGAGAAATTTAGCCAGTGCAGTACGTTTGCTGGACTAGGGTCTTTAGCGTACATCACGCTGTTGTGATACAAGGCCGCAGGGATGGGGATAGTGCCCGGGGATCTCTGGGTTCTGTAGCGCGAGCTTTCACTTCATGCGCTCCGAGCTGTGGTGGGCTAACGCACTCGGTCACTGATTTCTTTTCATCCTTCGATATCGAGAAATAGCCGTTTTTCTTTTTATTTATTGGAACCATAAAAGTTAGAGAAGTTCCTCATAGTCAGAGAAGATATTCTGGCACGGAAGGTCATTTAAACATTTAAACGGTATTTGAAACTTTTGAATTGTTGATAAGAAAAACTTGAACATTGCTAATAAGCATTCAGTAGGGAAAGAAACATTTGATTGCAAAAGAGTTGATTCCACAACTTTAGAGTCCATGTTACGCGAATTTTTCAGTACATTACTTAGTGGATTTGATGAACGGTCTGTGAATGAAAATTGGGTCCTTTTTCGAAAAAAAAAAAACGATTGAAGGGCAATTTTTTACAAATCGCTCCAAATTTGCACAAGCCCTAATTTACAGCTACTATTAAAATATATAATGAAACAAAATAAACGTCTGTACAGGTGTACCCTTCAAACAGACTCGGAACGGGCTTGGACCGTTTATCATGCTTACTCAGTGGTATGTAAAAAGAAATAGAAACCGCCAAACAAGCATTTTGGGCCGCGGACGTCTGGAACATGCTTAGAACTGACGGAAGAAATTTTGGAAAGTAATTAAGCCTAAACCTTCACCAGCATTGCCAAGCGTTTCTTGTGATGACTGGTCTTTTTTGGGCCCACGCCAATCGGCCGCTGGGTTTGACACCTTTTTAAGTAGTGTCTTCACTGGAAAAGATGACATCCCTCAGCCAGTCGCTTTGCCATCTCATGCTGAATGTATTATGCAGGACATTGTTATCACCAGTCACGGGGTCGATTGTGCGATTGATCCTTTGAACGCTAACTCCATCACGGGCCCTGATGGAATATCAATCAAACTCTTTAAATTAACCAAACACGTATCTAGGATGCTACTGGGAAGGCTGTTTCAACAATCCCTCTATTCCGTCATCCCTATTTTCAAGCCCTGGTGATAAGAATTATTTCAACAACTACAGGCCTATTCGCTAACCTGCGTGGCATGCAAACTCATGGAACATATACGTTCATCCCCGATTATGACTCATCAATCCAGTATCAACCTTATCTTTCCGAACCAGCACGACTTCCAACGCGAGCACTCTTGTGAAACTCAGCTGTTTGACCTAATTCATGATCTCCATGTTTCCGTTCATTCCTCACGTCCCGTTGATGCTGCGTTTATTGATTCCGCGAAAGCTTTTGACCATGTCCCCTACAAGAGATTAGACATATAACTTGAGAGCTATTAATATGAACAAATTAGTTATTGATTGGATAGCGAGCTTTTTACCAAATCGCTCTCATTCTGTCGTGATTAATAATACATGTCTCCTCTCCCACACCGGTTAAGTCTGGAGTCCCGCAAGGTTCGGTTCTTAGTCCGGTATTGTTCCTTCTGTATATAAATTACCTTCCAACATTCCGCCCACCATACATACGCCTTTCGCGGATGATTGCGTCATTTGTCGCCCCATATGTGCTCCTCTAGATGTGGGGATACTCCAGCGCGACCTTGAAAAAATCAGCCAATGGTGTATCACTCGGTCGATGCAAATCAACATTAGAAAAACAAGTCTCTAACTTTCACCATCTAATTAAATGTTGATCACCACGCGCACGCAATTGGAGAGAACCAGATTGAAAATGTCACATCAATCAAATATCTTGGCGGCCACCTTCAGCTAACCTATCATGGAACCTTCAAACTGAGCATATCATTAGCAAAGCGTCTAAAACTCTAGGATTTCTTAAACGTTCGTTGTGCCAGGCTAATAAAGCAACTAAACTTCTTGCGTATACCTCTCTCGTAAGATCTGCAATTGGAGTACGCGTCCATTATTGTGCACCCTTGTCACATGTACCTAAACAATATTGTTGAGGCACTTCAAACTAAAGCTGCCACGTTCATACCTAAGGATTATTCCCGATATCCAAGTGTGACAAACATAAAACATTCCCTCAACCTTTCGCAATTTTTCATTTTCAAAGACATATTGCCCGCAGGTCTTTCTTTCACAAGCTATACCATGGTTCATCTGCTTTCAGAGATTCATACATCCAGCCTCCTCATCATGTTTCATGCCCCTAGATCGCCCCTTCAAAATGCGCCCCATGTTTGTTCGCACCAACATATTCAAAAACTTCCATCTCCTCCTCGCTGTCTCCAACTGATACAGTCTACCAATCGATATTGTGTCGATCAGACCAACCCAAATGTTTACCAACGCCCTAACCAATGTATAATGGTGTATGTAGCTTTTGCTTACCTTGTTTTCTGTAAGCATTTTTTTTTGCTGTTACTATGTGTTACGCAAACGTCAGAATATTTTTGTCACAAAGTGCACTACCTTTGTCTCTTATTCCCCATCCCCACCTCCCCCTATGTCATGCCCATAAAGGTTTTTAGGGTAAAAAAGTTAATCAATAAGTAAGTATTCACTTCAACTCATTCAACGATTCATTATACATCTTTAAGATTAGAGTGTTTATATCTGTTCGTGTTTTTCTTCCGGACTCCCATAATTATCCCTTGCGAAGTGGTCGTTGTAACTTCCTGAAAGAAATCAGCTGTCGGATTAGTCCACTTAAGAATTGATGTTTCACGAAGGACCGTTGGAAGCCGAAACACTGTAATCAGTTTTATAACTCTACGCCAAATCCGACAGTCATGACTTACCTGCACAGTTGGAGATCTTTTTCGTGTTTATTCATTTTTGAACCCACGAGATTTTTTTTAAATATAACGTTACGTTTAATAATTAAGCTTGTGTTTCCTATAATTCCTGTAATTTAAACATAACTTATTATCGAGTGAGATTTGTGCGTGTTCTCTATGGAATATTGATCAGACTCCGTGGACCTTATATAAAAGAATAACCATCGTATTAAGAGGGCTAATTAACTAATATCTGTTGAATAACTTCTTCATTGCTGGTTTTACGGGTTATGTAGGAACTCAAGCTTTAAATGCGGTCATTACGAGACGTGAAACCAATTTAAATATCACTCAGTTTTTTTTTTGCGTTTTCGAAGACCAATTTTGAAACTAAACGCAAAATAAAAACTTAAAAAAAAACACGTCGGAACTTTTGTTTACAATTTTGCACAGTGGCCTGCGCACTCGATTCGCTTAATAGGGAGTTTTCGTAGACCGCGCTGCCCCCTCCGCTAAGCGTTCCGCAACGAAGATGTTGCTACTGCGCCTGCGCGCCGATAGCCTCGACTGTGGAGTTCCCGCTGTCGTAGCGGGTTGCGGAGGGCCTTGCGGGACGGCGAAAACGATCTACGAAAACTTCCTATTTTCCCATTATCTGGGAAGCGTGTTCATAGCGGATACGCTAATATCGCGCTCCCGAGATAAAGTTGATGCTCCCGAAACGGTTACATCAATTTTTCATTCACCACTATAAACAAGGGGTCTGATGATCCTCCTGCGTATAGTCCTGAAATCATCA